GTTCGTAAGGACGTTTCCTAGCTCCAGGTCCAGCCTCCACCGCCTCACTTTTAACGCTGCAACTTTCTCACCTTCCCGCCGGCAGCATCGCCTCATTCGCGCACCGCTCGCAACACTCCACATTGTTCAACTGTGTCTTCTGCATTCCAGGTATCATCGACAACATCAGCCGACTGCATTTGCGTGTCATCTACAACATAAACCAACTGCGTCTACGCTCTGCCCTTCGGGTCTCTATTGCCGACATTCAACAACACTCAACTTCTTCCTCGACATTCTGCGACTTTCCTCAACATCTGGCTCCATCACATGCGTACTGCATCACCGTCTTCACCTCCAACCACGACCTGCTACCTCTTTGAAACAACAACAACATCTGGCCAGCATTCAACGACGCTCGACTTCCTCCTCAACATTCTACAACTTTCCTCAACATCCGGCTTCATCACCTGAGGACTGCATCTACGTCTTCGCCGTCCATTTGTCGCGACTCTCCGGCCACAACCTCAAACCTCAACGAAACAACGACAACATCCACCTCGGCTTCGCCGCCATCACCTCCCCCTCTGATGACCATATGATAACCACTGTCTTTTGAAAACACAGTTCTTTTTTTATTTCCCCATCACACATTCAACATGCAATACCTTCTTTTCTTTTTTTCTCTCCCACTCTTCCATCCTCCTTCCACCCTGCAGCCGCGGCGTCGCCACGGCGGGTCCACTTGTTTAACTTAATTGAAGGCTTTGCAAGCCAACTAAATTCAATTTAAATTCTCGCAATCCTCACTAGCACTGTAGCGGAGAATAATTGATTATTTTACTTTCTTTTAACATGTCTTTATGGCCCTGGCTCCATATCCATTATGGGGAGCATTATGCCCCACCCTCGCGCTGTTATTAGAGCGGTAAGGCTGCGTCAGGGCTGGACGGCTCAGCAAGCGGCAAGGGTTTGTCGAGATTTCACTTCCGAAATTTTGACTCGACGGCGGCTTTCTGTTTGAAGGGAAGTGCTGCCATTTTTTTGGCACGGCGACAGCAACACTGTCGGTGGGGAAATGCTACTGGATTGGCAGTGCGGCGACATCGAGGCCTCCCTAAGGGGAAGTGCTGCCCGTTCGGCGGCACGGCAACGACAGTGTATCCGGCAGGGACTATGTTGTCGAAATTACGGCGTGGCCGCAACACTAATTTTTTAGACGAGGTGCTGCCCGGCAGCAACAACGTTATTTTTGGTGGGGTGGTGTTGCCGGAGCGCCAGCTTGTCAACGACACTATGTTCGAGGGGCAGTGCTACCAAATTTTGCAGTGCGGTGAAGCTGGTTTTGTTTGGTGCGTGATTAGGTGGAGGTGCCGCGGGACGATGTGGTACCGGTTTTGACGGCACGGCGAGCGGTAATCCCGTCGTTGCTTTTTTTTTGGTGTGCAGCGGTTATGGTGGGTTCCAGTGCGGCCTAAAGGTTGGACTAGCACTAGTGCACGTTTGGGATCGTGCGGTATTGGTGTGTGAACCGGGGACACAACATGGAGTTAGTACACGCAACAATGGTTGTTTGAGTCGTGACACTTGCGGTTTCTAGGGGAAGCTTTTTTTTTTTTTCTCTGGCACATGGTGCAAGCAGTATTGGTGGTTGGGACCATCAGGTGTTGTAGGCGAGAAATTGGAACCACATGTGACCATCTTTGGACCAGTTGAGATCAACTTGAGGATGGGACGCGATCGGTTATGGTTGACTGGTGTGGACGCGACGATTTAAGGCGTTGTGGTCCTACTGGTCCATTTGGGACAGTCTTCGAAAGTTGTGATGCAGTTGGGACTGCCCAGGACGTTGAGACTATGTGAGACTTAATTTTGGGGCCGACATTGAGGGTTATCTCATTTAAGTCATTTCAATGAGCCTAACTTTATCTATTCGGGTGCTTGGAGAAGGGTGTGGACATCATCCAATTTTGGGACCGCCCTCTTTGAGTATGGGATTGTACCTCTTTTCTTTTGAATTTGTTTTCTTTGCATGTTGTGCAGGTAGGTAGAAGGATGCTTCCAAAGGAGATTGATTATGCCTAATTGAGAAAAGGGAAAAGGATAGTCTTTTTTTGTTTTTTTCACCTGTCTGCATTGTTAAAAGGACTTGTTGTTTTGAAAAAGATTGATTCAGTGAGTGTCATAAATGAATTCGATTCAAATATAGCAGATAAGGTCAAACGGACTATATCAAATGGTGGAATACAACCATTTTCAGAACCATGCGGCCTAGAAGAAAGGCCAGGTGCTTCTGAGTCGTTAGGATCTTGGTTCCCCTAGGGGAACATCATGATTCGTGGCCCTTGATTGTGGCTGAGATCAAGGGCCAAGGCCAGTTACGAATTTTGGTTGAGGGCAAAGTACCTGCCCACAGCCATCAGCTGGCTATAAAAGCCAACACTCCACCCTTCCGCCTCACACTTGTGGCAGTGCTGGTGGGCCGTTCACTTGAGGAAATGCTGGCCGGCTGCTACTGTGGGGCGGTGTTGTCGGGGAGTAGGGAGAGGAAGTGTTGTTGGAGAGGAGAGTGGAGGTCTGCAGGGTGAGGGGAGATGCTGCTGGAGGAGGATAGGCCAGGGCGGCCATAGCCAAGGGCTGGAGGCTCTCTGCCAGACCCTCGTGCTGGCATTGTGGCGGTAAGGCTGCGTCAAGGTTGGACGGTGCAGCAAGCGGCAAGGGTTTGTCGAAGATTACACTGCCGAAATTTGACTTAGCACGATTTTTTTTTTAGAGGGAAGTGTTGCCATTTTTTTGGCACGGCAGCAGCAACACTGCCAGTGGAAAAATGCTACTGGACTGGCAGCACAGGAACATCGAGGCCTCCCTAAGGGGAAGGGCTGCCCGTTCAACGGCACGGCAACGACGGTGTATCCGGCAAGGACTATGCTGCCGAAATTACAGACTAGCCGCAACACTAATTTTTTAGAGGTGATGCCCAGCAGCAACAACGTTATTTTTGGTGGGGTGGTGTTGCCGGAATGCCGGTTTGTCAACGGCACTATGTCCGAAGGGCAGTGCTGCCGGAATTTCGCAACGTGGTGAAGCCATTTTTGTTTGGTGTGTGATTAGGCGGAGGTGTCGCACGACGATGTGGTACCGATTTTGACGGCATGGCGAATGTTAATGCCGTCGTTGTTTCTTTTTGTGGTGTGCAACCATTATGGTGGGTTCCAATGCGGCTAGAGGTTGGGCTAGCACTGGTACACATTTCGGATCGTGCGGTATTGGTGTGTGGACCGGCAGCACAACATGGAGTGAGTGCACGAGACAATAGCGTGGTGAAGCCGTTTTTGTTTGGTGTGTGATTAGGAGGAGGTGTCGCACGACGATGTGGTACCGATTTTGACGGCACGGCGAACGGTAATCCCGCCGTTGTTGTTTTTTGTGGTGCGCAACCGTTATGGTGGGTTCCAGTGCGGCTAGAGGTTGGGCTAGCACTGGTACACATTTAGGATCGTGCGGTATTGGTGTGGACCGGCAGCACAACATGGAGTGAGTGCACGAGACAATGGCTATTGGAGTCGCGACACTTGCAATTTCTGCCGAAAGCCACTTTTATTTTTTTTTGTAACACATGGTGCAAGCGATATTGGTGGTTGGGACCATTTGGTGTTGTAGGCGAGAATGTAGAACCACATGGGACCATCTTTGGACTAGTTGAGATCAACTTGAGGATAGGACGCGAGTGGTTGTAGTTGACTGGTGAGGACGCGACGATTTAAGGCGTTGTGATGCAATTGGGACTGCCCGGGACGTTGAAACTATGTGAGACTTAATTTTGGGATCGCTTTCTTTGAGGGTTATCTCATTTAAGTCCTTTCAGTGAGCCTAACTTTTATCTATTCGGGTGCTTGGAGAAGGGTGTGGACCATCATCCAGTTGGGAGGCCACAACTGGTGAAATTGTGGGGCAATGCACTTCGGACTCGGGCGACGTTTATTTTTTTTATTGGCATATTACTCTGCTTTCTTAAGTGAGCCGCTTCAAACTTCACTCAATGTCAGTCGATTGACTCAGATTTCCCGTAACACCTGTGTGAACCCACACTTTGCTTGACCCTGTTTTTTTTTAAGGTTAAAAAAAAAAAGTAGAAAAAGTTGTGCGAGTCATGCATGTGAACGGAAAGGTCTAACTTGAGTATGGGATTGTACTTGTTTTCTTTGCGTTGTGCAGGTAGGTAGAAGGATGCTTCTAAAGGAGATCGATTATGCCTAATTGAGAAAAGGGAAAAGGATTGTCCTTTTTTCACTTTTCACCTGTCTCCATTGTCAAAAGGACTCGTTGTTTTGAAAAAGATTAATTCAGTGAGTATCATAAAATGGATTCGATTCAAATAAAGCAAATAAGGTCAAATGGACTTAAAGTCTTCTCCCAAGGAATGACCCTTTCTATCCCAAATGACCTTATCTACCTGTACCTGTCCAAATGATTCTCATTCTTATCTCCTCTGATTTCTTTTAGTCCAAGCTACACTAAACTCAGGAGAAATAAGAATATTTGAAAGCTACTTGCAGTGGACACATCCTCTATCTCTAGGAAGCATCTGGGGCGGGGGTTCGTTTCTTTAGGAGTCGGCCCTGTTATCGACCCAGAGTGGACCGTTCTATGGGAGGGCTCCCGCACTTGCGAAAAAAGGCGGGAGCCGATGGACAACGACATGGCACTTCCTTACCGGGGAAGACTAGCCCCAGGTCCCAGCACTTATCCTACTGGGTAAACAAACCTCCCAAGCTCGCAAATGGCCCACTTTCATTTCCCTATACAAAGACGGTCTTGCTGTTAGCCTGGATGATGCGATGCTCCTACGAGCGAAGTGGATGTACCTTTAGCTTTCCACAGGCAAGGGAGGAAATCATTTCCACAATAACCACCCGCACACAAGAGGCCAGAAAAGAGATGAGACAGCAACTACCAAGCCTACAAGATGACAATGAAAAGCACCGATATCCAACTTTTTCCACACAATTTGGTTAGACAACAACAAAAACAAAGCTTTGTTCCTACTAGATAATCAACACACTATCAAATCGACGAGGTGGATGGCTACTCAACCTGGATGGCAGAGTCTCCCCGTCAACCATTTTCAGTTTCCTCATCCGGACCATAACTTTGTCCTCATCCCCTCCTCGCTGTTTTATTTTCCTAAGCTGACTGAAATCCATCACAATTCGCTTTCAAGGTCCTAGCTTCACGCCCTCCCCCCTCTCCCCCCTCCCCCCTCTCTGTCCCCTTCCTTAACCCTGCAACAGTGCCCCAGCCAGTAAGGGCTGATGCCTCCATTCGAAGGCAAAGGACCGGCCTGCATCGGACAATGCCTCAGGCCTCACAAGTGTGCCACTCATCAAGAGGCAGGTTCAAGGCGGATGTCAACTGCCTCCCACTTCAAGAGACATCCAAGCCTACAGCCGTAGTACACCCAAGGGCCCAAATGTGGATGGACAAAAACGACGCGAGCTGTAGTAGGGGAGAGGCCCATCTTAGATTTCAGTCTGGGGCTTTTTCTACTGCCCACCTCTTTTCTGCAAGGCTGTTGAATGTGGATGGCTCACCGGTCATGTACTCTGCAAATCATTGTTTCAGAGACGCTGGACCTGGTTTCCAGCAGGTGCAGCTCCTCGGATCAGCCCCTGAAAGACGTTGGTAGACCGGAACGGCCTTGTCAGGGGGCCAAATTCTGTGTTATACGCCTGTCAGAGCGCTGCGCCCAAAAAAAAAAAAAAAAAAAAAAAAAAAAAAAAAAAAAAA